TACGATAGTGACTGAGTATGAGAAAATATCCACGGCGGACTTGGCTGAATAGATTAATACACCACAGTGGCCTTTGCTAACGAGTGTGGTCTGCACAAAATTACTGTTTTAGCTACTTAGGTGGGCTAGGAGGCCAAGCCTAAATGTGCTGTGTCAGGATTGAGGCAGCTCTCCTCTGCTTCCTCTTAATTTTGCAGGATCAGACCTGAGCTGAATACTAAATTACAAATTAATCCCTGTGTCTCCTGAGCCATGAAATAATCTATATTGATAAAAAGAGAATAATAAATGATGACTGAAATTAGTTTGAAAGAGACTGGAGATAAGCAGTGTCACTCTTTAAGTTATTTTTATTTTTTACACATTTTAATTTACTTTGCAATTGTACAGTGTGTTATCCTGAGTACACATTTGATAATTTGTCAGCATTTGAAGGCTTTATTAAAATTCATACCTTCAAAAAAATTGCTGTTTGGAAGCTTGGCCCTTCTGAAAGAAGAGACTGAAGTGTACATGTAAAAAGTTTGATATCCCATACTAATGATGTACATAAAACTCTTACTGTATTAGTACTGGTTTGTACTCTGCCACAGATTGTTATGTGTTTATAAGTTGAACATGCATCATACAACAGATTGGTTTGGATTCCTTTTTGAAAGATACTTTCGTAACTTAACAAGGGGAAAAATACAACAATGAAGCACAAGTCCTCATCCTGTGTATTCTGTATGAAGTTAATGGTGTATAGTGTGCGGTTTTTCTCCTTAAATTGCAGTTGTGCTGGGGGAAAGAATGATTCTGCGTTTGGTAATGACACACGAGAAGTGTGTTGTGGTTGTCTGAGCAGATGGTTTAATACTTCAGCATTTCTCTGTAGCTGGGGTTGGTCCCTGCAAATCAGTTTGATACGTTGCTGTGGTTAGTGATGCCACAGGAATAAGAAAAAAACCCAAACAAACGACTTTGTGTAATATATGTTTGCGTTTATGTATTGTTTCCCTTCAGAGTTTAGTAGAAGAAAATAGATGTTTATCCACCATAAGCTCAGAATTAGTGCTGCTATTGGAGTCCAGGTTTGTCCTCTCTCAAGGGGCAGGTGCAGTCTTTACAGCTCTAGCTATTTAATCTTGAAGAGCGAAATCTCTCTCTTACTTTTTAAATTCTGTTACACCTATACTCATTAGAACAAAGTCAGGATGTTTCTGGCTGTTAATGCCCCTTGACACCTTTTCCCCCCTCTCCAGGGCACTTCGGATGGGGTGGTCCCTGCTCAGCTTGGGAGGTAGCTGACTCAGGACTCCTGCAGTCATGTAGCACTGAAACACCGTCTGACCCCTCCTGTGCCAATGACATGGCATGAAATGCTCATTTTTCCTTTGCAAGCAAAACTCCAAGCTGCTTCTTTATCTCTTTTCATCTTTCCTTACAGTGACATCCTATGACAATAGTAACAGGTTACTGTCACATCAACTACTTTGCGTTACTGTTGGCCCTGCCCTTACCAGGGCAGTATTCAATACTCCCCTGGTTAATTATAAATTGTAATAGTAGAGACTTATCACTATCATAGTAATTTGTGTAAAACCTCTTTCACATGAAAACACCATGAAAAAAAAAAAAGCATTGTTTAACTTACTTTGCTTTCATGGAACACAAGGCGCTCTGGAAAGCATTTTCCATACAAGATACAGGAGAGAAAGCAGGAGCCACAGCCCCATTCAATCAGGTGAAAGCTTTTATTAGGAAGTTAGTTGATTTTCACAATTTGGATTGAGAAACATACCAATCAAAACTTTCTCTCTCCCTAGAGTACCAATTAAAATGCAAAATAACTGGGCTTTACTATGATTGTCATTATTATTCATAATTGTCATCATGATTATTACTGTTTACCTCTCCTCTTTCTGTGCCATCACCACATAACAGCCATTCTTGTGCCTTATTACTTATTTTCTGCTGTTTCCAAAGATCTCTGAACCATTGTTCCAAAACTGCTCAAAATAAAATGGGAGGAGATGTGGTCATGTCTGTTTTCCCTTCCATTTCCAAGACAAATTCAGCTATACTTAGCAACGCCCAGTAGAAACACGTGTAAACTCTTCAAATTAGGTATACAATTAACATCAAAAACAGCTTTTAAAAATGAAGGGAGAAAAGGAGGGGAACACACAATGGGGCTGTTGTTTTGGTTTCTAATCCTTATTAGATATGTCTAGATTATGTATCAATTTTGAGTAACAAATATGAAGTAAAAAAGGAGGGTGCAAAGATTTATAAAGTGACTGCCTTACACTTTGGATTTTAGTGGGTTACCTGATTTTAAAAGCTGATGTCCAGCTACAGTGAGTTAAAATCTGCAGGCTGTAATAACTATTGGAAGCTAAGTGGCTTTAAAAATCAAGGCCAGACTCCTGGTGATGAAACCAGATATTTTGCTGTTAAATTCATGTTTCTACTTTTTTTTTAAAAAACCTCAATTCAGAGAGCAAAGATCAACCTCTCAGAGTACACGGTACCACTCCACTGGGAGGCTAGGGAACCCTGCCGGCGTTGCCAAAACCTGCTGCTCAAACAGCCCACACTGCTGCTCTCAGCCAGCCCTCCCATGACCCAGGCACCACTCGGGAGAACGTCCACATGAAGGGCAGGATTCAGGCGACCGGGGTGGGAAAATGGGGCACGGTGTGCAGGTTGCGGGGAAGGGCGGGCAGGAAGGGCGCTGAGGCTCTGCGCCTGGTTGGCAGAGTTCCTTGGGAGGCAGTCCTGAAGGGCAAAGGGGTCCAGGAAGGCTGGATGCTCTTCAGGAAAGAAGTCCTAAAGGCGCAGGAGCTGGCTGTCCCCACGTGCTGTAGACGAAACTGGTGAGGAAGACAACCAGCCTGGCTGAACAGGGAGCTTTTGCTGGGACTTAGGAAAAAAAGGAGAGTTTAGCACTTTTGGAAGAAGGGGCGGGCAACTCAGGAGGAGTGCAGGGATCTTGTCAGGTCGTGTAGAGAGGAAATTAAAAAGGCAAAAGCCCAGCTAATACTCAACCTGACCACTGCTGTAAGAGATAATAAAGGTTTTACAAATACATTAACAGCAAAAAGAGAACCAGGGAGAACCTCCATCCTCTATTGGATGCGAGGGGGAACATTGCCACCAAAGATGAGGGAAAGGCCGAGGCACTTAATGCCTTCTTTGCCTCAGTCTTTAATAGTCGGACCATTTATCCCCAGGGTATTCAGCCCCTTGAGCTGGAAGACAGGGACAGGGAAGAGAATGAAGCCCCCATAATCCAAGGAGGGATGGTTAGCGATCTGCTATGCCACTTACACACACGCAAGTGTATGGGACCAGATGGGATCCACCCAAGAGTACTGAGAGAGCTGGTGGAAGTGCTCACCAAGCCGCTTTCCGTCATTTATGAGCAATCCTGGCTAACAGGGGAGATCCCACTTGACTGCAGGTTGGAAAATGTGATGCCCATCTACAGGAAGGGCCAGGAGGAGGAGCCAGGAAGCTACAGACCTGTCAGCCTGACCTCAGTACCCGGGAAGATTTTGGAGTGGTTCATCTTGAGTGTGCTCACCAGGCATATGCAGGACAATCAGGGGATCAGGCCCAGCCAGCATGGGTTCATGAAAGGCAGATCCTGCCTGACCAACCTGATCTCCTTCTATGACCAGGTGACCCTCTTAGTGGACAAGGGAAAGGCTGTGGATGTTGTCTACCTGGACTTCAGGAAAACCTTTGACACTGTTTCCCACTGTATTCTCCTGGGGAAGCTGGCTGCTCACAGCTTGGACTCTGTTTTATATTTGCTGAGGTGTACTGGCCTCAGTACTGGAGAAGATAGAGGTGTCTTGCTTCAAATGCCCAAACTTTATGGTTGGAGTGACCCTTGGTGCTACTAGAAGTGAATGGGGTTGGCATAAACACATAATTTTACCCACATAGTAACATCATTATCAAGCTCTAATGCCATAATCCTACAAAAACACAGCTAATGCTATCTCATAAAAACAATCTTAATGTGTCCAATATTTTCTAAGGTCAAGATGATTTATATATGTGCATTTACTTTTTTGAAGACCTTACTGTGGTGTTAGCAGTGTATAGCATTATCTGACCAATCTTGCTGACTTTGCCATCCATCCATATCTGCCAATCAAGAGTTCTTTCTTCATCAAGTGGAAATTCTTTCAGTTCTGGTGCCAGGCGCTTCTCTGAAGATGTATTCTCAAATTGTTTTGACATGATATTAGCACACTGACAACAGCGTGTGTTGCTTTTCTACAGACAAAAAAAAATTGGAAAAATTCCGGTCTTGGTTGTCAAGCATTGGAATGGACTACCCAGGGAAGTGGTCAAGCCCACATCCCTGGAGGTATTTAAGAGACGGTTAGATGAGGTGCTTGGGGACATGGTTTAATGGTGGGATGGCAGGGTTAGGGTAACGGTTGGACTTGATGATATTAAAAGTCTTTTCCAACCTAAACAATTCCATGATTCTATGTTTGTTTCTACATTTACAGTTTACAACAGTATACACATACATGCTCTCCATCGCACCCATAAAGAATAAGTACAGTCACTCTACCCCTGTCGCCTTGTCACTAACTACAGGCTCAAGCGTCTGATGCTGCTGTAGCCTCAGAAGTGTGTGCAGAGGCAGGAGTGCCATGGGGGCAGATGGCCCATTGTGCCATCACTGTGTGTGGTAGGTGATGTCACCTGCCCGTGGACTGTGATGCCAGTGAGCAATGGGTTGTGACCTCGCGTCACTCGCTGCTTATCTTCGGGTGCCGGCAGAGCCTGGGCCAGTCTGGCTTGTGCCTGGCCTCCTGCCGAGCGTGCCTGCAAGGTCTGGAGGGGGGAGCGAGGCTTCTCCTGGTGCTGGGTGGTGCTCTGGGGGCTGCCATTGCTGGCAGCTCTCCGTGCTCATCCCGGAGCCATCACCTGCATTTCCCTGGCCCTGCCTGGTTCAGGCAGCCAGGTACCGCAGGGCGTGCTTGCAGCAGCGAAGGTGAGCCGTGTGGGGAAATGTCCCCCCAGGGCAGCCATGGGGCAGGTGATGGGGCTCAGGGAACTGGGAGGGTGTCCTTCTGGAGGGGCCTGGGCAAGTCCTTCTTCCCCTCCCCTCCCCCGGGACAGCGAGTGACCATGGCCTCTCTCCATTCTGCAGTGTGCGACAGCCTTGGGCAGCGCCAGTGCCTGCAAGGGGGAGCAGCTCCTCATCCTCGGCTTTCCCCAGCCCACTGAGGAGTGCGGACATGGCCACAGAGACAGAGTGGAGCTGCCCCATCTGTCAGGAAGCTCAAGCTGAGGTCACTTATGTGATGCCCTGTCGCCACCAGTTCTGCCTGGGCTGCATCCTGCGTTGGGCAGAGAGGAAACCAGAGTGCCCCCTCTGCAGAGGACTGATCGAGACTGTCAGGTTTTCTGTGCGGGAAGAAGACGACTATCTAGAGTGGATCATCGCATCTCGCGAAGCGTCGCCAGATGCCATCAGCCCAGCAGGCGGAGCTCCCAGCCGCCTGGCTGGAAACAGCCCCCAGCGCCCCACAGTGTCCCCTCCATCTTCTCCGCAGGGGGCCCTGTCCCCAGCTGAGCAGGGGGCTGCAGAGCCAGAGGCCGTGGGCGGCCTCCTGCCCGATGTCTGGGCAGAACTTTTCCAAAGATGGGAGCATCTCCTTGATCCCATGCTGCCCTGGCTGCGGCAGGAGCTGGAGGCAATATATGGGGCCCGGTGGTGGCACGTAAGGAGTGTGGAGAGCAGCATCCTGCACGCCCTGTGCGTCTACGGCCCCAATGAGGAGGCCATGGTCTGGGTGCTGCAGGGCTGCCTGGAGGAATATACCACGCCGCTGGTCCAGGGCATCATCAACATCATCGTGTGCCGCTGCAGCCAGGAGGCCCGGAGGCTGCTGCGCTCCTATGCTGCTGGGGACGAGGACGAGAGCCCTGCGGCCAGCTCCAGCTCCAGCAGCCCCAGCAGTTCCTGGGGGAGAACTTTTGGCTCCAGCCTGGCCTCCCCCAGCAGCAGCCCTGCCGGCTCCGGCGTGGGGGG